AATTCATTTGACGAAGATCACAAGGATGTGGTAGACAACGGCAAGCCGGAGCAAGATACTGATAACGCTAACGGGTCTTACTATGATGTACAGGCTAGTCTCTAACTCCTGGGCTCAGGGATCCTTCCGAGTGACTGAGACTACAGGGGGCTACAGGTTAGTGCTATCAAGTCCAGCTTCCTCATTTTAAATAAATATCACTGATATTTTGGATTTCTAACCAATGAGGGTCGCACGGAGGCATGCTGGTGAAGGAAGGATGGCTATTTCCAAAGCCCCTTCCCAGAACTCTAAAGGCCCCCAGCCATGGTGTTCTGTTTTCTCATCTCTTTGTCCTAAATTAGCACAGGGAAGAGCAGGTGGCTAGCTAGGCGGACACGGGCCAGGAAAAATTTCCATCGAGTCTGGTTTCCCATCAGAGAGGCTTTCTGGAGGCTCATCAAAGAATCCGGTGAAAAACTGTGGGAAAGAGGGGCATGTTAGACTTCTCGCCTTCTCAGAGATTTCGGCTTTGATCATTGTACTACATGAACTATAAAATGAAGAGTGCCAGCTGCCGTTTTGCCCTTTCTAAAATTGACCCATTGGAAGGCAGAAAGGAAAAAAATGCCCAGTTTCGTTTCATGATTTCATGTAATGATTTCTACAGTTGGGTTGGAAGGATGCGGGGAGAGGCTGGCAGGGAAGTGCCCGGGGAGGCAGGGGAAGGGAGCTATTTATTGTATTTCACTAAAGGGCAAGAGCGAATGATCAATAGGACCATGGTGCAGAGCGTATCTCACAATGCCTTAAAGCACCCTTTTTCATATTCCGCTCTTGTCTGCTCAAATGTTCTGGACTGGAGCTCCTAAATACACAAAGCTTTTCGATTTGCTATTTTTACAACTCAACCAAATATAATTTCCCTTCCCTTCCCACTGTCCCAGATAACGTTTTGAAACTAATTGTTAGTGTTTCTCTTGACTACTGTTGGTTTTGGAGAACTGATTGTCTCTTAACTCTCTTTTCCTGTTCATAGGACGTAATTGCTTTTCTAAATCAAAACCGAAAGAGAGATCATTCCATTTACCTGCCATTGTAAGCTTTTGGGGCACTATGTCCAATCTAAGCCACATACACATAGTTTTTACCTCTTCCTCTTTCACATTCCTATGTATGTAAAGATACATGGTTTTAGTTTAGCATTGAGTGCTAACTAATAATTCTGGCATTGGACCTCCTCCATACGGAAAGATTTCACACATTAACACACACACAGTTTTCATATTTGCCAGTTTTTCCTCTGAAGTCAGTCCCCCACTCCACCCCTTGATTTCTAATTGGTCTTTTTTTTTTTTTGGTTTTTCGAGACAGGGTTTCTCTATGGTTTTGGAGCCTGTCCTGGAACTAGCTCTTGTAGACCAGGCTGGTCTCGAACTCACAGAGATCCGCCTGCCTCTGCCTCCCGAGTGCTGGGATTAAAGGCGTGCGCCACCACCGCCTGGCTTTAATTGGTCTTAATAATAAAAACCAGGAGTCAGATACTAGTGGGCGAAAGCTGAAAGATCAGAGAAGCAGAGCAGCCAGCCACTAGTTCTTACCTCTATGAAATTCTTAGACCGAATGATATCCCATTTTTACAAGTCCTCAAACTGAATGCCTTCTCTACGAAATCTCACCCTGAATCCTGAGCTTCCTCTCTCCTCCTAGCCACATCACTACCCATCTCCACCTCCCTAGCACCGGGAGTAAAGGTGTGAGCCGCCACCTTTTGACTCTTTCTCTTTTAGACTGATTCAACCCTGTGTAGCCCAGGGTGGCCTTTAACTCACAGAGACAGAGATTCGTCTGTCTCTGTCTCCTGAGTGCTGGCATTAAAGGTGTGTGCCACCACTGCCTGGCCTCCATGGCTAACTCTGTATTGCTAGCTCTGCACTCTGATCTTCAGGCAAGTTATTTGTTAAAGCACAAATGAAATATCACCATACCCTGCTCCCCTTATGATGGGGTCTTGTGATGCATCACAGGCTCTTTAACTTGTGGGCCTCCTTCCTCCGCCTTCCTCAGAGGGCTGGGATTACAGGTGTATCCCTTCGGGCCTATTTCAGTCCTTTATTTCTGACTTCTTTTTGAATATCCTTTCCTGGCTTCTTTTGTTTTTTTTTTGTTCATTAAAAGGATCCCCTATAACTGATGGAAACAGATTCAGAGATCCACATCCAAGCATAAGGCCGAGCCACGGAAGTTCAGAAGAGAAGGAGGAGGGATTATATGAGCAAGGGGAGGGTCAAGATCATACCTGGGAAATCTACAGAGGCCGTAGAGCTCAGGGACTCATAAATACTGACAGCTGGGAATCCAGGTAGCCTCTCCACAATTACTTAGCCCAGAAAACCAGCTTGGGCCCACCTATGCCCAAGGCAAAAAGCCAACAGATAGAAAGAAAAGCAAGGAAGTGAGAAGATGTGAGACCCTCAGATCTACTCTCTCACCAGGTTGTATGCCTGTCTTTATTTTGAGTCAGAGCACAGGGGAGCCGTTGGCAAAGCTCACCTGGACTTTGAGAGACAGATGTACTTATTATGCACAGATGGACTTATGCCTTTCTCTTTGGCAGTGCTGGCGATTAAACCCGGGGCTTGTGCATGCCAGCCAAACTTTCTATCAGCTGAGCTGCGTGACATTTTTGTTTTGTTTTGTTTTGTTTTCAAGACAAGGTTTCTCTGTAGCTTTGGTGCCTGTCCTGGAACTAGCTCTTGTAGACCAGGCTGGCCTTGAACTCAGAGATCCTCCTGCCTTTGCCTCCCGAGTGCTGGGATTAAAGGCGTGCGCCACCACTGCCAGGCTCGAGCTGTACGACTTCTCAAGTTTCTTATGGGCACTTGGGAGGCAGAGGCAGGCGGATCTCTGTGAGTTTGAGACCAGCCTGGTCTACAGAGCTAGTGCCACGACAGGCTCCAAAGCCACAGAGAAACCCTGTCTCGAAAAACCAAAAAAAAAAAAAAAAAGATCGGATTGCTCTCTCTGGGCAGTCTGGAGGAGTGGGAGATAACCAAGGAAAGATGCCTCTTCTGTTTATTGATCTCATGTCCTTAGGAAGGCAGGGAGAAACACCAATTACATTTCTCTCTGTCTTCGTGGTTGCAGCTGACGGCAGAGCAGATCAAGTCTGTACTGAAGACAATAGCATGATTGATTTATTGGCTGAAATTTGCCCTTATGCCATTTCTAATTTGCCATCAGCTCTTGGACTACTAGGGATAGCTGACTGGACAGTTTATGATGCAGTTAGTTTCCTTGTTTCATATGCAAGGAAACTGAAGGCCAAAAATAAAATCTATTTATGGAGAAGAGAGGGATGGGGCAGTGGATAGTGTTGCTCCACATACATGAAGACGAGTTCAACCCCCAGTATGCATGTAAAAGCCAGGCCCTGTAGTAAAGGCCTTTAATTCCTGTAGTGGGGAGATGGACATGGACACCTCTGGATTCTAGCTGAACCAGCAAGCTCCATGAGTTTCTCTTTCAAAAATCCAAGGGAGAATGACAGAAGAAGACACTATAACCAACCTCTGTGCTTATATCCACATGTGCACACAGGTTTAAAAAGATATGGTATCAATGACACGGTTTCCAGTTTCACTTCTTCGGGCTTTCCACTGCAAATGATTATTTTTCTGTTTGTTTGGTTGGTTGGTTTTTGCTAATTTGAGCCTAGCTTCCTGGCTCTTTTTGGTGTTAATTTCAAGTTGTTTCAAGAACGGAGACTATTACCAGTACTGTATCCAGCATACTCAGAAAGACTTATAATTAAGTGCGAGAGACATTAAGTTAATAATAATCTCTTACTTTATAATCAAACAGGATAAAACCCTGTTCTTCACCCCTCCCACTTGCTAGTGTACACAAAAGCATGCCCACTAGGATGACAGAAAGCATACTTAACATATGCTGAATGATCATAATTAGAAGGACATATGCACACACAAAGATGGCAGAGATGTCCTACTGAGGCAGATTATACTTAGGGTTTATATCTGCACACAATGAGTTCTGTAGATCTTTAATACAAAGTAATGATGGATTGACAGAGATTTTAGACACAAAGCTACCAAATGTCTTGCTGGGCAATCTTGCATGTTTGCTTTCTATCCAATAACATGAAAACTAGATCAATGTATGAAACATGTGGTATTGTTATTAGTATTCTCCTTAACATTATTATAATTTTGAGACACAGTTTCATGTATTCCAGGCTGGCCTTCAACTCCGTACAATACAGAATAGTCAAGGATTCACTTGAGATCCTTCTGCCTTTGCCTCTTGAGTGCTATTATAAAAGACATGCACTGTAGTAGGCACTGTAGGACTGGCCCTATGTGGTGCTGGGGATTGATTGAATACAGGGCTTTCTGCACACCAGGCAAGCACTTGACTAACTGAGTTATGTCTCCAGATCTACCCATTATTCTGTACAATTTAATATATGTTACTAAGAAAAAGGGGGAAAATACATGCTGGGGCAACAGTCATCTTTTATTGTGTTCTGAGTGGTTACATAAGGAAGCTTTCATTGAATTGTACTTCTGTACATCTGAACGGTATGTAAATTATCCCTCATAAAATAAAACCATTATTAATAAGAATGATGGGCATGACTCACTAAAAACAAAGAAAAGCCCCTTGGGTGTGCAACTGACCTTTTAATAATTTCAGACTTTTATAGGATCTTAACTACTAGTTGATATTAATAGAAGGAAGAAACATTTCTTTCCCATGGTAATCTTTTGATAAACTAAAACTAAGTTACTTAAAGGATTTTTTTTTTTTAAAAAGATGCATTGAAAGACTTTTTATTTGGGAATGGTATGGTGGATTGAACAAAATGTCTTCCATAAGCCTTGGACACTTGAATACATGTTCCACGGTTGGTGGCTGTGTGGTGAAGTTAGGAGTTATGGCCTTGTTAGAAAAAGTATATCACTTGGGGGCAAGCTGTGAGGTTTCAAAAGATTCCCCACCTCAAGTTAGCTCTGTCAGCTTCCTTTTGTGGCTCCAGCGGTGAGCGCTCCTGTGCTGCTCCAGCGGTCTGCAGCCTATTGCGTCTACTCTTTCATCATGGCCGCTAGCCCTCTAGAACCATACATAAATAATCAGCCAAATGTAAACAAGCCCTTTATAATAAACCAAAACAAACTGTAATAAAACAGACACCATAATAAACCAAAATAGACCCTTTCTTTTACAAGCTGCCTTTGGCCATGGTGTTTTATTACAGCAATAGAAAAAGTAACTAATATGAATGACTTATTTTTTTTTAGATTTTCAGATTTTAAAATGTAACTTCATATCTAATCATATCACTTCCCTCTTTCCCTTTCTTCCTTTTGACCCATCCCATGTCCTCCCCCTTCACCTCCTCCCATGCTGCCCCCACTCCCTCTCATATTAATGGCTTTGAGATTTCAACTTATCCCAGTCAAAGTAGCTGTGGTCAACAAAATAACTGACAACAAACAACTCCTGGCAAGGATGTGGGGAGAGGGGAGCCCTCATTTACTGCTGCTGGGAATGTACACTTGCTGTGGGACAATGGTCTGTACCCTGTCAATTGTATTTTAGTAAAACACTGATTGGCCAGCAGCCAGGCAGGAAGTAGAGGTGGGGCAAGAAAAAATTCTGGGAAGAGGAAAGATTCAGTCTGCAGTCATCACCCAGACAGGGAGGAAGCCAGACACAGAGCAAGCAAGATGTGACTGCCTTGCTGAAAAAGGTACCAAGCCACATGGCTAACCCAGACAAGAATTATGGGCTAATATAAGTTATAAGAGTTAATAAGAAGCCTGAGATACTAGGCCAATCGGTTTATAATTAATGTAGACCTCTGTGTGATTTCTTTGGGACTGAACGACTGCAGGACTGGGTAGGACAGAAACCTCAGTCAATATAAACTGATGCAGCCACTCTGCAAATCAGTATGGAGACTCCTCAAAAAAGCAAAAACAAATTTACTGTATGACTCAGTTGCACCAATCTTCGGCATATGTCCAAAGAGTTCAGTACCTATTCTGTAGACAATATTCCCTGCCAGGAGATGGAAACAATCTAATTACCCTTCAACAGATGAATAGATAATTAAAATGTGGAGAATATACACAATGGAATATTATGCAGCTATAACGAAGAATGAAATCATGAAAGTTACAGATAAACAAGATGAACTAGAAAATATTAAATTGAGTGAGGTAACCCAGACCCAGAAAGACAAATGCTGCATTTTCTCTTTCATCTGTGGTTCTGTGCTCCTTATCTGGAGTAAACACAGAAACCAGGGATATATAAAAGGACCATGTGGGGGTGGGAGCTTAGAGAGGGGAATGCAGATTATATGGAGGACCAATGGGAGTAAAGGGGAGGGGGACAGTTAGGGAGGGGGAGGGAGGTCAATACAGGACAGTGAGGGACAAATAACAAGGATGCTTGAGAAAGCCAAAGGATATCCCAAATTGTATACCCAAATGTGTGTTACACACACACACACACACACACACACACACACACACACACACCCCTTAGATGAAGTTACACCACTTGAACCAACAATGCTACCCACAGGAGCCATAGACTGTCTAACAAAAGCTCCAGTCCCGGGCATGAAAAAAAACTCCTTTGGGATGGTTGGTTAGAGTACTCCAAGTGACTCCTAAAATTATAGGCTATTTGTTGCCCCTCGGAGGTTGAAGGCAAGTGCCTATTGCTGAAGACAGCACACCCTTCAAACAGGACTTGGAAGAGTCCGGCTGGATCTAACCTGAAAGCCTCCTTCCTGTGGCATAGGTTTCATAATACCAGAAAGTGTTAGCACAAGCTGACACGGGAGGGAAGTGACAGATAGTCCTACCCATCCGCGACTTCTATGAACCACAACGACCGACTTGGCAAGATACCACTAAAGTTTCAATACTGGCATTCATATCTTGGCTCTTTTTACAAGGCGAGACAGCCTTTAACTTACCTGTGTGGATAATGGTGTTGAATGCCAACCTTTGCGTAGGAGCACGGAATGGTCCCTTGAGCTACACATCCAACCAAGAATTTTACTTCAGGCTCTTCAGTGGTCTGATATTTTTACAATGTATTCAGGTAAGAAATGAGTCTTCAATGAAGTAACGTTTTCCGCCAATATTCAATTTCATTTTCTGTCCGAAATAATCTCAAAAGCCAATTTTCTGGAAAGATGCTGTTAAAGCCAGCAACTTGGATATATTTTAAAAATTAAGCCGGGCGGTGGTGGCGCACGCCCTTAAGCCCAGCACTCGGGAGGCAGAGGCAGGCGGATCTCTGTGAGTTCGAGGCCAGCCTGGTCTACAAGAGCTAGTTTTAGGGTAGGCTCCAAAGCTACAAGAGATACCCTGTCTCGAAAAAAAAAAAATATTTGCTTTTATGTTTTAACACTCTATGGCTAAAAACTCTCTTTCTCTAACGTTTACTTCATTTTCTACGTAAGTCCGATGGGGCGCAAACTTGGGACCCACAGTAAATCCTAACTTCCCAGCGTAGGAAAAGGCCTACAGTCAAAAATGGTGGAGGGACCACAACTCCCAGAATGCAGTGCTTTTAAGTTTCCTGTTGCTCAATGATCGGGGGGCGGGTCTTGAGTCTCCTCTCTGCTCCATTGGACAACCTTTCTATTAGGGAGGAGAAAGCGAGGCCAGCCTCTCCAATACAGGTATCGAGGGGAAGACCGGAACAAGAAGAACCTCGCTATTGGACAGTTGCAATCCGGAAATTAGGAGGATCAGCCAATCATAACGCGTTTAGGCTCCCCGCGCCCTCCACCGTAAACTTCCGTGGCGGGAAAACTTGGGAAGTTTTCGCGCCAGGGCGGAGACACGCGGGTTTTTTCGGCACTGTTTGGCGGCTGGTGATTTTGGGGCAGCGGTATGGCGGGCACCGTAGTGCTGGACGACGTGGAGCTGCGGGAGGCGCAGAGAGACTACTTGGACTTCCTGGATGACGAGGTGAGGCTCGGGCGGCCGGCCTGGCTGGTGCTGGGGACCCCGCGGATGACCCGGCCCGGCTGATGCGGTGTCTGCCGGTAACCCGGCCCGGCTGATGGGGTCTCTGTGGTTAGCCTGGGCCCGGCGGCTGGAGTCACCGCGGATGACCCGGTCCGGCTGATGAGGTCCCAGTAGTTAGCCTGCGTCCGGCGACTGGGGTCCCCGAGGCTAACCTGAACTTGGCTGATAGGGTTCAGTCCCTGATATCTTTGCCGAGGGTCATGGCCTCTGGTGCTTCTTTTTGCTGGGCAACTTCCTGATTTCTTTTCTTCTAATTATTGCTATTATTCCTCCAAAACAATATTTTTTTATGTCTTAAATTTGCATAAGTTAATTTTACATATGACTTTCATTATGAAATTTCATAAATAATTCATTTTGACTGTATTCACTTCCCATCACCCTCTCTTCCCCTCTTTCATTTTTTTTTTGCTCCCGCTGATCCCCTTCTTCTATTTTCATGTCTTTTTTTTTTTTTCTAAATGAGTCAATGAATTTTTCCCATGGGAGATTTTTAATTTTTATGTGATGATGTAGGTGGTCCCCAAGACCCTTTGCTTGCGGTCTTCCCCTGAGCTACATATTCTTCTTGAAACTTTTCTTGGTTAGTCGATAGAGTTTCCTTCAAAACCCTCTAGTTTGTCTCGTGAGGACCCAGCTTGTTCAAGGTCCAGTGTCAACAAATTGGTCAAGCCCATTTTAGCAATTGGATGAAAAGGAGGAGGTACTGCCCACAGGGTGCACCGAGGGCTGTGGCAACTGGCTCAGAGTGTTCAGATTTTAGTTACTGAGTTACTGCTGGGGGGTGGGGGACCCTTCCACCAATCTGACTGTTTATTGATGTCAGACCAAAAGTATTTTGTGTGCAGGTAAAGTGAGGTTTCTGTGCAACCCAGAGTTTAAAGCTACAAGATGTTGGTGAACACAGAAAGTTTGTCGATCAATGAAAAGCAATTTTAAGTTGAATTTTAAGAGTACTTAATTTACATTTTTATGTATGCTTGAAATATACATCATGTTTTTGAAATAAGTCTGCAATCAGACATGTCAAGAATTTAAGATGCAATTTTCATATTAGCGAGTTTTTTTTTTCACTTACTGCTCTTTAAGAGGTAAGTCATTTTGAGTCCCAATTAAAATATCCACATATATTGATCATGACCGCATGGGATAGGGGATGCTGGGCAGGAAGAAAGGGCTGTATAGAGCCATTTGCTTCCTGGCAACCGTTTGAGACAAATGATGAGTACCAGTATGTTGGTATCCTTATATGTGACTTAATTGGTGGTCATTGTCATCTTCATTGGTGTTGACTTCGAGTAGCTCCCAATTCCCCACTTAGGACTTTTGAGTAGCTTAGTGTTGATATCTTCTGACATAAAATAGTATCCCCACAGTCAGTAACTGCTTTACAAATGGATCTGTCAGTGGTTAATAATGTGCTATTGATGTAGACTGCGGTGTATTTTCCTTGTCCAGAAAGGCCTAGACCTTGTTCCATGATGGGGGAAGCCTTTATAACCTAGGGAAGACTATCCTGTAGCTGAAAGACAGAAGTATGTCACACCAAAGAATGAGAACTCAGAAATGACCACCCTTCTTTCGTGCACTATGTCCTTAAGTACCCCAAGTTCTAGGCACAGCTGCAGACCCCATTGCTGAGCCTGCTTGTGTTCTGACTGCCACCGCTTTCCAGGTACCTTCTAACACTTCCCTATCTGGCTGTCACTTAGATTCAGGCCGGCCTTATTCTCACTCCCCCCTCTTGCACCAGTTTTTGCAGATTCTCGCTGTAAACCCATTAGCTTGCTTGTTCTTTTGGTTGTCTTACTCTGTAGCCTCACTTGAACTCAGCGGTGATCTCTGCCTCAAATACCGGAGTGCTGGAATTGCAGTTTACCTCCAATGCCCCACCTGAGTTCTAACTAAACAAAACTTTTCCTCTTTGTATTTCCTCCTGGAAGCTTTGGAAATCCAAGCTTGCTATCTCCTAGTAGGTTGTAGGTGAAATCCGAGGCTAGTGAATGAAAGAAATTGGTAGTCACCAGTTTTTTTTGTTTTGTTTTGTTTTTTGTTTTTTGAATTTTCGAGACAGGGTTTCTCCGTCGCTTTTTGTTCCTGTCCTGGAACTAGGTCTTATAGACCAGGCTGGCCTTGAAGTCACAGAGATCCGCCTGCCTCTGTTGGGATTAAAGGCATGCGCCGCTGCCGCCGCCTCCACCACCACCACCCCCCGTTAGTCACCAGTTTTGAATTTCAGTAGTTCCAAAACACTTTGAGTTGCGTAGCTGTTTTTGATATGTCATAATTGTTCCACAGGAAGACCAGGGAATTTACCAGAACAAGGTCCGGGAGCTGATCAGTGACAACCAGTACCGGCTGATTGTCAGTGTGAACGACCTGCGCAGGAAAAATGAAAAGAGGGCTAACCGGTGAGTGGTGATGGTTTGCAGAGGAATAGCCTGCTTTGGGCTGAGAAAGGCGTCGTCTTGTTTAGACCGGAACAGGCTTCCCTGGAAAGACCTGGAGTGCATGGCTGTTGTTGTCTCACAGAGAGGAGATGGTGGACATTTTGCTCTTAAGTGCTCCCATCTTCCAGCGTTTGCTGAGTACCATTTTTACATCTTTGACGAACCGAAGTGAATGTCAGTTCGGATGTATTTCCTGAGTCTTATACAAAGTAGAAATGGGGTTTTCTTTCACTGCTCATAATGACCTAAGACTGTTTTTTCTTGTTTCGAGGGTCAGTTTCCTGAACTCTGCGTAATTAATGATCCTTTGTCTTGGTCTTATGCAGCCTCCTGAACAATGCCTTCGAGGAGCTGGTTGCCTTCCAGCGGGCCTTGAAGGACTTCGTGGCCTCCATCGATGCTACCTATGCCAAACAGTATGAGGAGTTCTACATAGGATTAGAAGGCAGCTTTGGCTCAAAGCACGTGTCTCCCCGGACGCTCACTTCCTGCTTCCTCAGCTGTGTGGTCTGTGTGGAAGGCATTGTTACCAAATGTGAGTGGGTTGTAGGCTGTGCTGGGATCCTAAGGAAATGGTAGGATAGAGATTTAGGAGGTCCTGGAACCAGAAGAGTTGTAGCGGGGCTGGGGAACTTGTAGATTCAGAGAAGTGTGAAGTATTGACATTAAATGGTAGAATGTGGAGGACCTCAGGATCCACAGCAATTGGGGGCGGGGACTGGAATACCATCAGCTGGATACCATCAGCGGTATCAGAACTCTGTGTTTCCGAAGCTGGAAGAGTCTGGCTCTTCCAAACTTACTGCAACCCTGAACTGTCCCTTAATTGACATCAGTGGTACTTAAAATTTTACATGGATACACTGATACCCTATGTGTAAATGTAAAGACAAATAAATGACAAGTGTTATTGAAATAGGTTAACATAATTGGAAGAACACAGTAGAGTCGTTGCATGGGTTGAGAGCCCTCCTGTGTCTGCCGCTGTGTGACTTTATACATACCTTTGCATTCCCAGGCTCTCTAGTTCGTCCCAAAGTCGTTCGCAGTGTTCACTACTGTCCTGCTACTAAAAAGACCATAGAGCGACGCTACTCTGATCTCACCACTCTGGTGGCTTTCCCGTCCAGTTCTGTGTATCCCACAAAGGTGAGGACTTGCACCAGTTGGTCCTTGGGAGCTCGGAGTCAAAGAAGATTGTTTTAATTCCAGTAGTTGTAGAATATCTGGAGTCTTTGTTCTAAAAGTAGATAATGTGAGATAAGGATTAATTCTGAAGAAAGATGGGATACTAGATAAAGTTAATATAGAAATCCCACCAAAGTTAGGGACTAGAGTTGGCTTAGTTGGTACTTGTTCTGCGAGCATGAGGACCTGGGTTCAGATCTCCAGCACCCAAGTAAAAGGCCAAGCATACCTATGAATGCCTGCTAACCCAGCTGCCTTTGGAGAGAAGAGATGATAGATAGATATTCCTAAAGGCTTCCTTGCTAGCCGGCTAGTCTGGTTGAAACAGGATACCTGATGCCATACCTAATCTCCACGTGTATGGTATGTGCACCACACATACAGAATAAAATTGAGAAATGTTGAACTATAGAAGGCTGAAGAGGAGACACATTGGGTGACAGGTATTTTAACAGAGTTGTAACAATTATATAATGTGCTTTCTAAAAGTAAAATGGAAAATGCTGCTATTATTTGATGCTATTGTATAATCTTCTGATATTTCAGTGGATTTAGGAAAAAGACAGTAAAAAGCTTTCTTGACAGTATTCAGGGTGAGATAACTTTCTTAGGGAGACAAGAGATCATTAAGATTGATTACTTGATGTCTGTACTCATTTAATCACAGGATACCTCTTAGGAAATAGTTTTGTCTGGGAAGTAGAAAGTACTGGCTCTGAGAAGCTGATGATAGAGCATGAAGTTGTAGCACAGTCCCTGGCACATAGTGAACACTCAGTAAGCACACCTTGGCTTTTGTGGTTTTCAGAACTTCACATATAATGGAAGCACACCTTAATGGTTTTTTGTGGAAG